TTTTTTTTTTTTTTTTTTTTTTGGTACCAGGGGTTGAGCTCGGGTCCTTGCGCCTGCAAGGCAGGCCACCGAACCCCTGAGCTAAATCCCCGGCCCTGAAAACTTTTTAAACAAGTAAAATTTTTTGTTTAAAAACTTTTTCCTTCCCAGATTGTAGAAATGAGTTGTCTTGGTTAACTAGTTGTCTTGGCTGCCTATAAATGTATTTTCTTGCAATCGCAACTTTTTTTCTTTTTAGAGAATAAACATTAATTTTGGGGGGCGAGGGAGTCCATATTTCCTCCAGTTATTTTTAATTTCCTGCCACCTCCTATTATTTGCACAGTTGCAGTCAAAGTGTGTGTACATATTTTACATCTTAATGGTATTGTTTTCTCAGCTTTCTTCATAGTCTTGGAAGAAGGGGAGAGCTCCGTAAATGCCCAATTCTCTCTCACAGATTGTTTCTCAGATTTCCTTTCTTCAGGCAGACCAAAGGCAAAGTTTCCATCATGATTACAATAGTCTGGAGGATGAGTTGATGGCATTTTAATGTTTTTCTGAATGAAATTTAAGAACCTGGAGCCTTGGGAGCCTCCGTCATCAGCAAGGTGTGGTGGTTGATCATGTGTGAAATAGGCCTTTATTCAAGGTAAACTCTGTGATGAGTTTTCTTGTTTGCTTATTCAGTGGCAATCTGTGCAAATTGAGGTTACATTGCGTTGGGACAGATCATTCTTGGGAAGATTGTTAGAAATATTGGGGTAGAGGGATGGCATTTGGCTTTTTAGTTGATAACCCTTTGTATCTTTGAGAAGGTAAGAGAGCTCTGGGGTAATGTGGCCTTTGGGTAGAAAGAAAGGTTGATTTTTCATTACTCCCTTACTTTAACTCCTCTACCAAAATGCTTTGGTATTTTCCAGGAAAATTTAGAACCTAAGCTTTGTCATTTTGGTTCTGAAACATTGGGGCACAGTTATATCCCCTGAATAAATAACCTGAATTAAAAATTGTTCACATTTCTTTATTTTTATTTTGTGGTATTGGAGATTGATCCCAGGGAGAGCTGAACTTGTCTCCACTCCACCCACCCCTTTTTGTGGTAATTGAGCTCAGGGCTTCCCACTGAGCCCCCCCCCCCACCTTGAGACGGTCTGTTCAGCTCTAAATCTCACAGGCAGTGCTCCATCTTGAGTTCCTTTTGCCTCACCTTCCTAGAGGGGATTGCAGGTATGTGCCGCTTATTTTTATTTTGAGACATAGTCTTGCTAAATTGTCACAGCTGGCTCTTTCACCTTCTAAGTAGCTGGGTTTACATGTATGTGCCACCGTGGCAGACTCCCAGTTTTTTTTTTTTTGGTACTGGGGATTGAACTCAGGACCTTGTGCTGGTAAGGCAAGTGGCGGAACCAGTGAGCTAAATCCCCAGCCCATCTCCCAGATTTTGAAGATCAAATTTATTCTTTTGATTGTTATCTAATGGTCTTCTAATGATTCTTTTAAAGAATAGTGAAATCACCAGTAGAATATTATGTAAAAGGGCCGGTTTAGTGGCACACACCTTTAATCCCATTATTCGGGAGGCTGAGGCAGGAGGATCACTGTGAGTTTGAGACCAGCCTGGGCTACATAGTGAGTTCCAGGTTAGTCTCAACTACATAGTGAGACCCTGTCTAAAAAAAAAAAAGAATATTATGGAAAAGGGCCGGTTTAGTGGCACACACCTTTAATCCCATTATTCGGGAGGCTGAGGCAGGAGGATCACTGTGAGTTTGAGACCAGCCTGGGCTACATAGTGAGTTCCAGGTTAGGCTCAACTACATAGTGAGACCCTGTCTAAAAAAAAAAAAGAATATTATGGAAAAGGGCCGGTTTAGTGGCACACACCTTTAATCCCATTATTCGGGAGGCTGAGGCAGGAGGATCACTGTGAGTTTGAGACCAGCCTGGGCTACATAGTGAGTTCCAGGTTAGGCTCAACTACATAGTGAGACCCTGTCTAAAAAAAAAAAAGAATATTATGGAAAAGGGCCGGTTTAGTGGCACACACCTTTAATCCCATTATTCGGGAGGCTGAGGCAGGAGGATCACTGTGAGTTTGAGACCAGCCTGGGCTACATAGTGAGTTCCAGGTTAGGCTCAACTACATAGTGAGACCCTGTCTAAAAAAAAAAAAGAATATTATGGAAAAGGGCCGGTTTAGTGGCACACACCTTTAATCCCATTATTCGGGAGGCTGAGGCAGGAGGATCACTGTGAGTTTGAGACCAGCCTGGGCTACATAGTGAGTTCCAGGTTAGGCTCAACTACATAGTGAGACCCTGTCTAAAAAAAAAAAAGAATATTATGGAAAAGGGCCGGTTTAGTGGCACACACCTTTAATCCCATTATTCGGGAGGCTGAGGCAGGAGGATCACTGTGAGTTTGAGACCAGCCTGGGCTACATAGTGAGTTCCAGGTTAGGCTCAACTACATAGTGAGACCCTGTCTAAAAAAAAAAAAGAATATTATGGAAAAGGGCCGGTTTAGTGGCACACACCTTTAATCCCATTATTCGGGAGGCTGAGGCAGGAGGATCACTGTGAGTTTGAGACCAGCCTGGGCTACATAGTGAGTTCCAGGTTAGGCTCAACTACATAGTGAGACCCTGTCTAAAAAAAAAAAAGAATATTATGGAAAAGGGCCGGTTTAGTGGCACACACCTTTAATCCCATTATTCGGGAGGCTGAGGCAGGAGGATCACTGTGAGTTTGAGACCAGCCTGGGCTACATAGTGAGTTCCAGGTTAGGCTCAACTACATAGTGAGACCCTGTCTAAAAAAAAAAAAGAATATTATGGAAAAGGGCCGGTTTAGTGGCACACACCTTTAATCCCATTATTCGGGAGGCTGAGGCAGGAGGATCACTGTGAGTTTGAGACCAGCCTGGGCTACATAGTGAGTTCCAGGTTAGGCTCAACTACATAGTGAGACCCTGTCTAAAAAAAAAAAAGAATATTATGGAAAAGGGCCGGTTTAGTGGCACACACCTTTAATCCCATTATTCGGGAGGCTGAGGCAGGAGGATCACTGTGAGTTTGAGACCAGCCTGGGCTACATAGTGAGTTCCAGGTTAGGCTCAACTACATAGTGAGACCCTGTCTAAAAAAAAAAAAGAATATTATGGAAAAGGGCCGGTTTAGTGGCACACACCTTTAATCCCATTATTCGGGAGGCTGAGGCAGGAGGATCACTGTGAGTTTGAGACCAGCCTGGGCTACATAGTGAGTTCCAGGTTAGGCTCAACTACATAGTGAGACCCTGTCTAAAAAAAAAAAAGAATATTATGGAAAAGGGCCGGTTTAGTGGCACACACCTTTAATCCCATTATTCGGGAGGCTGAGGCAGGAGGATCACTGTGAGTTTGAGACCAGCCTGGGCTACATAGTGAGTTCCAGGTTAGGCTCAACTACATAGTGAGACCCTGTCTAAAAAAAAAAAAGAATATTATGGAAAAGGGCCGGTTTAGTGGCACACACCTTTAATCCCATTATTCGGGAGGCTGAGGCAGGAGGATCACTGTGAGTTTGAGACCAGCCTGGGCTACATAGTGAGTTCCAGGTTAGTCTCAACTACATAGTGAGACCCTGTCTAAAAAAAAAAAAAGAATATTATGTAAAAGGTATAGAAACAAAGTATCAATACATGTATATCTTTCCTTTTTAGTTACAGTTTCTTGAGATTTATCTTGCCTGTCTTGATGGGGGGAGATGTCTCATAGAGGGTTAACCTGAAGTAAATAAAACCTCAACACTTTAAAAATAGCATATCTTTCTGTGTAGCTACAGATTGTTATGCAAAATCAATTCTCACATCCCCAGCTTGGGTTGGAAACTTCAAATTCAAAAATTTCTTTGAGTAAGTTTGGATATTGTTGTAATAGTTCTGTGAATGATAACTATAAATTCGGGCCATTTTATATATATAACTTTTTTCCCTTTTTCTTCAACTTTTTTTTTTTAAAGCAAATATCAAATGAGCAAACCAAATACTGTAGTGGCTTTCCACCTGACTACTTTCCATCTCTCCCTCGTTTAAAATGGCCTCTTCCTGAATTCTGTTTCAGAATCTGTTTTCTTTTACAATCAGGCTCAAGCCCTCCCTTTTTTTTTTTCTTCGTATCACTACTGAGGTGTTTGAAGCTGATTCTTGACTTCCTCAGTTCTCCTTTTGGTTGCTTTATTTTGAGCTGGTATTCTACATTTTAGCATTGCCTGAGAATTGAGTACTATTTTGTACTCACCTTCATTTCCCATTGTCTGTTTCAGATTATCAATCCCTTGAATGCAGGCATTGTTTCTCTTTTTACCTATCTCTACCCACACAGCACCATTAAATTCCTGAACAACTGTTTCCCATTAACTATGTGGGATTTTTTTTTTTAACACATCTGTTTGATTTTGTTAGCTTCATAGTTTTTCTATTAGAGGAAGTAGTTTTTGTTTTGTTTGTTTGTTTTGAGACGTAGTCTCCCTATGTGCTTCAGGAAATGTTTTAAGTTCTGATAAGTGAGATTGAATTTCAACAAGAATATCTAAAGAGATCCACAGCCTTACCTGGATAATGGGCTCACAAATGGAATCAAGAATTAACGAGAATTTCATACTGTGAAACCAGAAGGATTTTATACTGTCACCCCCACCCCACCACCTTTAGGTTTCCTCTTTTTCATTTTCTCTCTCTCAGAGAATGTATAGCAATTGTCTTTTCTCTTGTTGCTGAGACAAAATATTTGACACCCAAAGTTAAAGGGGAAAGGTTTATTTAGCTCGAAGTTTATAGAGGTTTCAGTCCATCATCAGCTGGCTCTAAGGCAGGGTGGCACATAGCAGAGGGGCAACAGTTCATGGCAGTGGAAGACAGCAAAAGCAACAAGGGACAAGACAAGCCTTTCTCTGTCCCTTATGTATTGTATTCAGGCTGCCAGGATTAGGGTGCCAAACCAAATCAGTGTACTGATTTAGTGATCACACATCCTTAATCCCAGCATCACACACTCTAGATTCAGCCACCCATGACTGCATGAGGCTTTGGGAGCACATCTAGACCCAAACCATAACAGCAATTATTTGGTAGAAAGGAATTAAGTGTTCTAGTGAACATTAAGAGCTTTTTGTTTTATTTTGTTTTTTGAGACAGGGTCTCACTGTGTAGTTGAGACTGACCTGGAACTCATTGTGTAGCCCAGGCTGGTCTCGAAGTCACAGCGATCCTCCCCAGTGCTGGGAATACAGGCATGCGCCACCACGCCCTGCTAAGAGCTTTAAAAGTGTTTTTATTTGACTGGAGTAGAAAGAAGAAACCCTAATGGATGTGTGTGGTGGTTTTTTATTTTTTAAACAGCTTTTATGCATAGTGTAAGCTAGCCTTGAACTCGTTATTTAAGCCCAGGTTGGCCTGGAACTCACAGTGATCCTTCTGCCTCAGCCTCCGAAGTTCTGGGATTACAGGCATGTGCCACCATGCCTGGCTTCTCCACGGTGGTTATTTTCAAATACTTTAATTTTTGCTATACCAACTCTAATCAGTTGTTTTTACAATTTGGGCATTATATTGAGAAGTTACATTGCTTTGTTTTATTGTGTTGCAGTGCTGGATTTGGTACCCAGACTTCAGGCATACTGGGCAAGGCAAGCACTCCATGACTGAGCCATACATTTAGCCCTTGAGAAGTCTTTTAAAATTGGATTTGTTTTAGTTGCAGATTAAAAGAAAGAACACAGTAAAACAATGGGAAGGAGTATGGTGCCCAAAATTAATAGTATCTTCCATGGGGTTGTGTAGGGAGAGGGAGTGACACATGCCACAGAGTGTAAATCAGGAGAGGGTAGTGGCATGTCGTTTGTCTATTTGTCTAGTGTGGATGCTACTTAGGTGATACAGGAACCATTTTCTGTTGAAATGGGTAATTGGAGCCCACTCTGTTTCTGGGTGGCAAAACAATGCTGTTGATGGCTGGGGATTTACCTCAGTGGCGCTGCACCTGCCTTGCAAGCCCAAGGTCCTGAGTTTGATCCCTGGTACTGGAAAAACAAACAATGTTGAGTAGCTAAACCCAGCAGCATGTTTTTCAGTTGGTAAAACTGAACTTGAGGGTTTCCTGTCTGCTTTGACCCCCTCTTCCAACCTTTGTTTTGTATCCTTTCTGGCTGGCATTCCCTTTGAGAGGTATATTTGGATCTATAGCTCTTGCTTTGAAAGGACTTTTTGCTATGACATGAACTTATTTAGAAGAGTAAACAGATGGGTGTAGTCCCAGCACTTTGAGAGACAGAGGCAGGATGATTGTGTGTTTGAGCCTAGCCTAGACAGTTTAGGGACTTAGATCCTGTCTCAAAAAGAGGGCTGGGGATGTAGTTCCATGTGAAAGTCTTGGGTTCAGTCTCCAGTACTGAAAAAAAAGTCAACAAATACAAGTAGGTACAGTTTTGTAGCCATGCTGCTTGCTAACTTTATAGCCTGTACTGGATAAGATGACTCTAGTTCCTAAATGGCCCCTGCTATAAAGCTTTTTATTTTTAAAAAATTAAATTTATTGATAGGATTTAGATACATATAATAATCACATTCATCATATGGAACTTATACCTGTACATGATATATCTTAATCCTTGTTTTCCCATTCCCCTCCCCTCCCTTCAGCTCTTCCCCCACTCTTTATTTACAAAAGCTTTGTTTCTGTTTTCTTTCCTTGCTCATATTTCCTTTTTCCTTTTCCTTCTCCCGCCCTCCCCTCCCTAGTGCCCCTTCTCATTTGAACTTTGTCTTCCATTTCACATTATCTATTATATATTTTGGTCCTATTTGTTTGTTTGTTTTGGTGGCAGGAATCCAATCAGGACCTGGCACTTGTGCCCCTGAGCTACATCCCCAGCTCCATTTTGATCCTTTTTTACACTTTCAGTTTCTCATACCAGAGAAACAATGCAGTGTTTACACTGTAAAGCTTGTATAAAAATGTATCTAAAATTCTGGTACAAATTATTTGCTCTAGATTAAGTGACTTAATACAAAGTGGAACAGGGCAATTGGAAAGTTCAAATAGCATCCCATGCTGAAGCTGTTTATGCTTGTTTCTTCCCTGTAAGGCTGGTTCTGCTCCATCAGAGGCCAGTAGTAGGCCTTTCAGAACCTATCAAGCCATAGAGAAGAGAGAAGTTGTCAGAAACATCTGATAGGGAAGATGGGGAGAAAGCCTCAGGATGATCCATGATGCAAATAAAGTGCTCCAGGGATAGGATGCAAGTTGTCATAAATGGATGAGTGTGTCGCAAATGAAACTGGGCCTTTCACTCTTCCGTCTCTAACAACTGAAAAATTTTAAACATTGGCCTTATTTCTTCCTTTACTGTCATTTTTTCCAAGTTTCTGCAATTACTATCTTGGTTTGTGGGAATGGGGCAAAGGAGTAAGGGAAGCTCTCAATTTGAATTTCTAAAGTAGCTATGCTTTATTATTTTCAATACTCTCGGTCCTGCCTTCCCAGATGTATTAATTTTGTTGCCTTCGTAGTTTGAGTTATAAGGAAATATCAGAGTGACCCTCTGCATCCTCTGTTGATCTCGGGATGGAACCCAGGACCTCGGGCATGCTACACGAGAGCCCCTGAGTTTGGTTCCTCTCTTTCTCCCCTCCCATTTTTAAAAACATTAGTATATGTTTGTGATACATAATATGTGCACATGGGGAATTGGTACATATACATGTTGGATCTTGATCCTTCTTTCTCTTTCTCTTCCCTCTCTGCCTCCCCTCTTTGTCAGATTCCCCTTCCTATCGTTACAGTGTCTATTTCCCTGTTTGTAGTTGGTTTCTTGAGATTATTTCTGAATGGAAAAATTGGTGTTGATTATGAAGGTGGGAGGCATGTGGCAGTAATGTTGATGTAGCTGCAGTGAAAAAAGAGAGGAGAGCTTTGATTTCTGGTTTGGTTCATGTTACAAGCCCACCCCTCAGGATTAATCAAAATAATGGGAGTCTTTGCATGAGACGTTAGTGAAAAAGTGGTACAGAGAACTGTATTCCCCTAATGAAAGGACAGATGAGCGGAGTTAGCACTATAGCTGCAGGTGTTCACTTGTTTGTGTGTAATTGCTGGAATATGTAATTTCTGCTTTTAGGTGTTACAAGCTGGTCCTCTGACCATATATCTCTCCTTTAGTCCCTAGTGATTGTGAGGTTAGAATTCTAAAGCAGGATGGAAGAGATCATTTAGAGTGATAAAACTACCTCAGAGAGGGCAAACGACTCTTACTTGCAGTCTCCAAACTTCTTGTTGAGTTTGTTGTTCTTGTACTTCACAAGTGTGTGTCTGCAGTGCTGTGACATAGACATTGAAATAGAAGATCTTTGCCATACTGATCTACTCACAGTTTCTCAATAAATGAGAATTGTTGGCAATTTTAATTTTTAATGGGTGTCTTCTTTTGTTTTTCTTTAAAATACAGTACTGTTTTTAATTTTAACTTTATTTCTTTTCAGTTCAAATTTGAACATCAATGACGTTCTAGGGAACTATTCATTGACTCTTGTTGATGCCTTGGATACACTTGCAGTAAGTGTTGCTCTTTTTTTAAAAAATTAAGGTGTTTTACAGTTGATACCCGTTTCCCAAGAATGGTGAACCTGAAAGTTTTTAAATCTTATTTTCTTTGAGAAAGGTAGGCTTGAACTCACTGGATAGCCTGGGCTGGACTCACACTCGTGATTCTCCTGCCTCTGCCTCCTCAGTGCTGGGATAACAGGTGTGGTCCACTGCATCTGGCAGACTAGATACTAAAATGCTTTGGTGGCTGTTGTTTATTTTAATGAATTTTGTGTGAACAATGGGGAAAGCGCTGAAGGTTGAAAAAGAGCAAATGTGATCCTCCTTACACAACAGTGAAAAAAAAAAGTGCTTCTTTGTAGGAAACCAGTTCCTCCACCCCAATTTTCCACTGCTTTACTTGCTAATGGAGTCCATAGAGAATTGTCTTAGTATTTTACAGTTACTGCAGTTAGTAGTTCAGGAATAAAAAACAAAGTCTCAGGGTTGCTAGATCTCCTGAAGTTCACTAGATCCCTGCTGACAGCCAGCCTCTGTGTAAACCCTGCTCTTACTTGCAGCCTCTCCCAGCGTGTTGGGATTGCAGGTGTGTGTCACTATGCCTGGCTTACATCTTCATGTGATAAGTAGCAGGAGGAGGACAAGGCCCTTCCTCTAATTGGAAATCTGAGCTGGTGGATTTTTCTTCTGCTAGACTGTAGTTGGAAAGCAATTTAGTTGCTCAGTGTCTCCTGAAGTGATTGCTGCTGCATTTTAGTCACTCCTCATTACTCATCCAAATGTGCCCTGACAAGTAAGTGCAGCCTAATTAGAGCTAATTTGTTAAAAATATTAGAGGCTGACTCAGTGTACAGGTGTTGCTTCAGCTCTCCTGAGAGTCATATATAGGTTGAGAAAACTTGTTTTTTTTTGCTCTCTGACTCTTTTAATCACTATTTGTATTTTTTTTTATCCCCATGCTTGCTACTTCAGAGACTTTATCTTTGTTATTTGCTGTATTGTACTCTCCCCACACTTCATGGAAAATGGTATATAGTAGGATTACAAACTTTTGTTCAAAGAATGAATTTTGCTAGTTCAGCATCTCCCAACACAAAGTACAATGGTGTACTCCTTGAAAGGAGTTCTGTTCTAAAAGGAACTGGAGAAATTCTGTGTCCAGCTGTTAGCTGTGTTAAATATCAATATTTTAAAGGCTCTGAGAAGTCATGCAGTAAAGAAACCTGTTTAATACTTCCATGAGGTCCAGTTTTTCTCAATCATTTTATATCCTGGTTTCTTGAGGCTCTTAGCTATCTGACTAAAGTGCTAAATTATAATATGGAATTAAGCATTGTTGGCTTTCTTCACCTTCCTCCACTTAATCTGAAATCGTATCAACACTACAGTACCAATAGATATTGTTGCTGGTGAACATCTGTAAAGAAACAGACCTTTTTTTTTGGGGGTTTTCATTGTAGAATATCTGGCCTTTACTGTCTTAGCACTTACTTTTCAGGCGTTACTTATGTTGAGATTTTCCTTTTGCTAGAATTTTTTGTTTGTTTGTTTGTTTTGAGACAGGGTCTCACTATTTCAGACTGCTCTGGAATTCACTGTGTAGCCCCAGCTGGTCTCGAAATCAGAGTGATCCTCCTGCCTCAGCCTCCCAAGTGCACCACCATACCTGGCTTGCTAGCTTTTTTTTTTTTCCTTCTTCTTAAATTCTTTTATTGGTACATGTTAGGTATACAATACATTTACATTGATCATTAGGAACTTGTACCTTTACATGATGGATGCTTCTTGGTTCTTATTTTTTCTCCATTCCCCTGTCCTCCCTTCCACCCCTCCCTATTTGCAAAGGTTTTGTTTCCATTTTTTTCTTTTCTCATGTTTTTTCCTTTCTCTTTTTCCCTACCTTTCCCACTTCCCCTACCCCTTTGGACCTTTTCTTCCTATTTCAGTATCACTTCTTCTTCTTCTCCTTTTTTTTTTTTTTTTTTTTTTTTTTTTTTTGGTTTTGTGGGACTGACCTGGAACTCACTATGTAGCTCAGGCTGGTCTCAAACTCACAGTGATACTCCTGCCTCAGCCTCCTGAGTGCTGGGATTACAGGTGTGCGCCACCATGCCCGGCCTCAGTTATTCATTTTAATCCTTATTTACATTTTAGTTTCTCATACCAGAGAAACTATTCGGTATTTAACATATGTGTCCTGTGTGTTTCACGTAAGAGTATTGCCCTTATTGTGCATCCATTTAGCTATAAATGTCTCTTAATTTCTCATTCTTTGTGGATAAATAGGCTTTACCAGATAAACTGTGGGAACCCTTGGGGAAAGCAGTACCCTGACCATTTTGTGAAACGTGCAGCATTGTTGTGTAATCTTTTAAAAAGAAAGAACTGAAAATCAGAAAAGAAACATTTATACTTGTCTCCATATGTTAAAGCCAATAAAGATCAGCAGAAAAAAAGATGTCATAGACCAGTAAAATTAGAAAATAAAATATGGTTGAGTGTTCTGAGAAAATTATTTTTTCTCTAGTTTTGATTTTTTGTGGGTGTGTATCCTTGTTTTATTTTTTGGTGGGTGTGTATCATTATGTCAGTATAGTTTTAATATTACCATAACATTTTCAGTAGAATTAAATCATTTCCACTTAGGTTAATCAGTAAAATTTTATGCCCAAATTGTAATTTGTATAGGAGGATCCAATGTACACCACACATAGTAATCATAATGCCAGAATACTTTTTATAGGACATAGAGCTGGTTATTTGTATAGTTAAATGTCACTGGTTTTATGCTGTACTCCAAAAGGGTTTTGGATATCTGGATGGCAAGCAGCTAGTTTAGTAAGATTTCTAGAAATTTTAGTCTTCTGGGAGCCAAGCACCCAAACACTGGATTTATTTGAAGAATGGGGAAAGTTGTATTTTTATTTCTTTAATTTTCTGATTTATTTTCACTCTTGCTAGAAGTTTTAGGAACTACAGTGCCTTTGCACATTAGTCACATCAGACTGAACCTTGAGGGACAGAGGAGTGGAAAGATTCGGAGTGCCATTGAATCTAGAGGGGAGTATTTTCACAGTTTTGCCACTTGGAGATAGGATTAAGTTGCAGGAAATAGGCTTGCCGTTTGTCTGGAGTACAGTAAGTCCTCACCTTATTTTATTATTTATTGATTGATTGATTTTTTTTTTTTTTTTTTTTCGTCCTGGGGATCGAACTCAGGTCCTTGCGCTTGCGAGGCAGGTGGCGGCACCACAGAGCTAAATCCCCGGCCCAGTCCTCAGTTTATTAATGAGTTCTATTTTGGGAGAATGTTTGTAAGTCAAGTTTGTTCCTAAGTCCAACAAATTGAGTTTTATACACAAATATATAATATTTTGACACAAATATATAATATGAAGTATAAAAAGACCAAACTTCTACTCACCACTGCTTTTCCCCTGGCTTGTGGGCATCCTTGGGCTCTGATTGAGCGCTGTACTGCTGTATACTATTGCGCTGTACAGCTATACAACTGTGACAGTGTCTGGTAGGTGAACCAGGTGATCTGTTTGCATGTATGTAACTCAAGGTCCCTTCCTAGCTGTGAAAATTCACAACTTGAATGTTTGTATTTGAAGATTTATTGTGATTGGGAAAATAACTGCTTTTCCACTATTTGTGCTTCAACCCCCACAGTGATAAAACCACATACAGTACAGGCATTTAGCTCACGTGGCCAAGCTGCTGCCTCTGTGTAGCATCAGTTTCATCTTAAGCTGCTATAACGGTTTGTATTCTTCTTTTTAAAGATAATGGGAAATTCATCTGAGTTCCAGAAAGCAGTCAAGTTAGTGATCAACACAGTTTCATTTGACAAAGATTCTACTGTTCAAGTCTTTGAGGCCACAATAAGGTAAAATAGTACATAAAATAGGTTGAAAGCTGTGTGTGTGTGTGTGTGTGTGTGTGTGTGTGTGTGCGTGTGCGCGCGCGCGTAGAGAGAGATACCTTTCGGTTTTTCAGACCCAAAATCGAGGTAGGTGGTCCATGTGGATATTATGGGTCCAGTGTGTATTTTTTATGTTTATTTTAGTATTTATCAAAATTAAAACAATTGGACACATGATGATCACATTTTGGACAGAACCAAATGAAGCACTCGTGTTTTAATGGGTGTCCCTCTAAGTAGTTTCTTGATTTCCCTCTATGGCTAGTTTCATTTCCTGTCTTTGTGCTGTCCTAGGAAAGCTTGTACATATTTCTGAAGGAAATGATTTTTTTCTCTCTGCCCACAGAAAACCATTGTATTCCATCTTGGTGTATTTCTTTCTTAGGTGTTGATCGCTAACCTTACTCCTTTTGTTAAATGTACTGGAATCATGCTCTATACCCACCTCTCTTTAATATATTGTGGCTATTTTCCTTTTAATTTTAAAAGACATTTTATTTCTGCATTTCATTTTATTTAGTGAAATCATTTGTTCTGAAATTAAAGTTATGAAATCATTTTTCTGAAAAATGTCACAATCTACTCCAGATAATTGGAAAGGGACATCATGGGTCTGCAATGACACAGATGTAAACTGTTAGCCTCTTACCTGAGTATGTCATTTTCTCTTTATTTTCCTTTGTTCCTTCTCATCCTCTTACCAGATATTGAAGTTCATCAGTTGCCCGGCAGCCAAAACTACAGAAGTTACTTAATTTGTTGTCTAACCTTTTTCTCTTTTTTTATATGGTTAAGACTTTCCCCAAGTGAGATTAATCAAGAATAATTTAATGGAGAGAGTAATACGTATTCTGAGCACACTGTCACTTAGTACAGTCCCTTAACCTCTAAGATTAAGATAACTAAATCTGTTAATCTTTTAAATGGTATTGTTCTCAGTAGCCTCAGATACAGGATTCTCCTTCTGTCTTTGAGTTATGCAATGAACTAAGAATCAGTCACTTATTAGAGCTGGAAAGGACTTTTTAAGAGGCCGTTAAGTCGAGTCATTCTGACTTCAGGCAGCCACAAAAAGATGTTGCTTCTGTCCTTCTGAATTAGATTTTGTGCCCTTTTAAGCAACAGGATTTTATTTACTTATTCATTTATTTGTTCTTATTGCCATTAGGGTTCTGGGAAGTCTCCTTTCTGCCCACAGAATAATAACTGACTCTAAGCAGCCCTTTGGTGACATGACAATTAAGGACTATGATAATGAGTTGCTGCACCTGGCTCATGACCTGGCTGTGCGGCTCCTCCCTGCTTTTGAGAACACAAAGACGGGGATCCCTTATCCTCGGGTGAGTGCATTGTTTTTTTCCAATTCACCATCTTCTGGAATTAAAACTATTTGGTAGAAGGAATGGGGCTGAGGTACAGGAAGAAAACTGTATTCTTAAGATAATTTTGCCTTAAACAAAATGTAAATATTTTTTAGTTCATTCGGCATTTACTAAATACTTACTGACACAATCCTTTCCCTGTAAAAAACGTATTTTTTCTGTGTTCAGTATTCATAAATGTTTTACACATGTGATTTATATTATGTGCTCCCAAATAGTGTGGAGGATTTGTTTTCATTTCTTATTTGTGTAGATTTCCCCAAAGAGCCTCACATTTGTATTAGAGAGGGGCTCAATGAACATTCTTTTGAATGTTTCACATGACTCTTTCAAATAAAGCCTGAACAGACCAGCTAGCTAGCTGCTAATTTAAATGCAAGATCCTTGTGATACCTGATTTGTCAAGCCAGAACTCTGGAAACTAAGTCAGCCTTTGAGATTACCAAGGAATGAATTTCCACACCACAGGGCCGCCATGATGCAACAGGCTGTAATACTCCAACTGAGCCTCCCTTCTCTTCCAGTCTGAGGTTTGTTTATATTTTCTGAGCAGGAATGAGTTCATAGTGGCTTACTTAGACTTTAGAAATGATTCCACAGCTTGCTTTTTTCTTTACTCCTGAAACCTGATCATATGTAGCCATGAAAAAAACTTGTTGGAAAGAGATGATTTAATGAACCCAGCATGATGATGCATGCCTGTGAGCTCAGCTATCTGGGAGGCTAAGGCAGGAGCATCACAAATTTGAAGCCAGCCTGGGGGGTGTATGTAGCACAGTGGTAGAGTACTTGCTTAGCACATACAAAGGCCTTGGATGCAGTCATCAGTATTGCTAAAAAAGAAAAACAGAAACAGCAGAGAGATGGTTCATTTAATTGTGTTGTGTTATAGTCATTCCCTGAATACTTGCCCTTTTTGACTCGCTCTTAATAAGACAAGACTGTGGATTTCTTACCTTCGTTTGTGTTGTCTAAATTTAAATCCCATGTTCATCTTGGGTATAACATGACTGAATCTCACCACAGTAAGCTTGGTTCATTAGCTGAATGTCATAGGCCTTCAGCTGTGTGAGTTTTTGAGTTTTGCCATGAAACCTGTGACTGACTTCCTATTCCCAGGTGAATCTAAAGACAGGAGTTCCTCCTGACAGCAATAATGAGACCTGTACAGCAGGAGCTGGTTCTCTCTTGGTGGAATTTGGGATTCTGAGCCGACTGCTGGGGGATTCCACCTTTGAATGGGTGGCCAGGCGAGCAGTGAAAGCCCTCTGGAACCTTCGGAGCAATGACACAGGATTATTAGGTGTGGTGCACTTTCTCCCACCATTGGGGCTGTGTAACATTTGCTCCCCTTTCCGTTCATTTCTGAGAGTATCCTTTCTCTCCATTTCTTTATACCACTGACTCTGAAAATTGTCAATTCAGAAAGCAATGGTTCTCAATGCCTGCCATAGTCAATTTCTTTTTGTGACCTTTTTGTTAGAGTGAGACTATAGGGTTTTATGGAAAAGAATAATACTATTGCTGTTTGAGAGCTCCCTTCTGACTTGGAGCCCTCAGTGTATTTTACTTGAAAATTTTTGTTAATGGAAATGCTACAAAAAGATCTTCCTCTGAGGCAAGGTTTATTGTTTTAATATGAAGTTCTAAATATAGGAATTTAAAGTTAGCAGTGGAATAGCTTCCTCCTTTAAAAAACAGGTAGGAGTCTAGAAGTAGATTGAAAGCCCAGATTAAACTTATATTAGTTTTTCTTTTTCCTTTCTGAGACTGTTTGGTCAAGATTTTATTGAAATATTGTTTTGGAATATTTCAAACATTAATAGTAGAAAGGTATAATGACTAATAACCCCATTTACTCATCATACATCTTCAATAATTATCTGTTTTACTAATTCACAATGTTTTAAAGTGGGTTTTTACCTCATGTGGTTGTCTTATATTGGGATGTACTTTCTTTTTGGCAGTAAGAAGTTATTTGATTTGAATTTTTTTTTCTAGAAACATAGGGTATTATAAAAGTGTTATACTTTAGAAGTGATTTTTGATTTTTTGGTTCTAAAATTTATCTACAAATTTGTTGTATTTAACAGCGACAGTAGAAATAAAATCACTCAAATTATTAGTTATCACCAAGTGATTGACTAGTGTCATAAATTGTCAGTTTTTAATTTTCCATGGGTGTTTTTTTGTGTTTGTAGTATTGACAATTAAAGGCAGGGCCTTGTGCATGCCAGGTAAATGCTCTACCACTGAGCTCTATCTATCCTAAGTTCTTTTTAAAATTTTATTGTAAGACAGGATTTTGTTAAGTTGTCCAGGCTGGCCTTGAACTTGAACCTTCTGCTTTAGCTCCTCTCTACCTACCCCAACAGTAGCTGTGATTTCAGGTGTGTCACCATCCCAGCTCCGTACACTCTTTTAGCCTGGCATGTGCAACTGTTATACACTGTATTTTCAATTACTAATAGGTACAAAGATCTTTATTCTGCCTTAATTTGGCAGGTCATTCCAGTATTTCCAGGTTATTATCTTATTTTCATAGTAACTTTTTAAAAGCTACATAGTCATCTGTTAACTCTTTCTGGTTGTCAGACACTTAGATTATTTTTCTTTTTTTTTTTTTTCTTTTCTATTTTACAGATAATTTTCTGGTGAACAACATAAGAGTTTTTCTTTTTAAAAAACATTTTTTTCAGGACAGATTACCAGGAATGACAGTACTGGGTTAAAAAGGCTGTGAGTACTCCTTTGGGTTTTGAAATATATTATCAATGTAGAAAAGCAAAATGACAAACCTACATATAGATATAGATATAGATATAGATATAGATATATTCATTTTTGCATTAAATATTTATCCATTTTGTGTTGGTGGCTAAATACCATATAGTCGAAAAGATCTCTAGGCTGCCCAAGTTATTGATAGGACTCAGAAATCGTAGGGTCAGTCTTTCACTCCTTTTCTTATTTATTGAGGATAAAGGTGCTGAGACGTGGGGTTGAAGTAGGGTGTCTGTCCCCTTCCAGGAAGATTGGGTTCTGAGTACCTTTATTTGTCCCTGCAGGCAATGTTGTGAATATCCAGACGGGCCATTGGGTTGGAAAGCAGAGTGGCTTGGGCGCTGGGCTGGACTCCTTCTATGAATACCTTTTAAAGTCTTACATTCTCTTTGGTGAAAAAGAAGACCTAGAAATGTTTAATGCTGCATATCAGAGTATTCAGAACTACTTAAGAAGAGGGTATGTCTTTTTAACGTAACTTCTCTGGCCTTAAAAAGTGAATAATTTGCATTCTGAAATGTTCTTGTTTTGTTTTGCTTTTTGAGACAAAGTCTTGCTATGTAGTGCAGGCTGGACTTGAGGTCACAGAAATCCTTCTGCCTTAGCGTCCTGAGTGCTGAGATTACAGATGTGACCACCACAGTTGACTAATGTTCCCATTTTTCTTTCTTTTTTCTTTTTATTTTTTAAAGAAAGAACTTTTGTTTTTTATTTATTTTTTTGGTACTGAGGATTGAACTTGGGTCCTTGCGCTCATAAGGCAGGCGCCAGAACCTCTGAGCTAAATCTCTGTCCCCCCATTTTTCTTAACATAAACTCCCACGGTCTTTTTGCCTCTTCTGCCCTCAGCATCACTGTCAGTCATTTGAGGTTGAAGATCTGTATTACCTATTTATTATGTAGCATAGTTCCCCAAAACTGAATGGCTTACAATAAAAAAAAACATGACCTCGTAACAGCTTCTAAAAGACAGAAGTATCAGAGATGCAGGTCCTAGGTTCTGGCCTAAGATGTCACATGAGGTTGCTGTCAAGCCGTTGACCAAGGCTGTGGCCATGGCTAGGTAGAGTGGGGCTGGAGGACCCCCTTCCAGCCTCACTTGTCACACCTGGTGGTGTTCAGTTCCTTGCTGGCTGTTGGCTGTAGGGTCGCAGATCTTTGTCACAGAGTCTCCTTCATAGGTAGCCCATGGCAGCTGACTTCTCCCAAAGTGTGTTGTCTAAGAGGCAGAACATAGTCTTGCGAATATATGTTATGACTTGGTTTGATGATTATATGTCAACTTCTCTGCCAAACTGTTGGTCATCCATACCAGCCTGATACACAAGATGTGACTACCAGGTCATTGGGGCAGCCACTGCCTATAAGAGGAAATCGCATATTCCTGTGTTTAACTGTGGCTATAATTGCAGATAGAGCTATATTATAGGACAGTTACTGAATTTTTGTGCTTTTTCTCTCCCAAGGATTGTTAAGATTGATCTATATACCTGATGGGAAAAGAGGACTTTTTCACGTGTTTTCTTTCTAAGCTTTTTTTAAAAAGAACATTACTTTTGGGAGGCTGAGACAGGAGGAATGTTGCCAGTTTGAGGCCTGCTGGGGCTAGTGAGTTGAAAGCCAGTATGAATTACATAGCGAAACCCTGTCTCAAACCAAAACCAAAACAAAAAACGTTACTTGATACTCTCACAGTTGTGCGTTCAGAATGGCACGAGGAAGAGAGGGCGCGAAGAGAGCCGTCGAAGCTATGGTGGCCTCTGCCCTGATGCCGTTCTTCCCTAGATGTTTCTTTTTTTCTTGTCTTTACCATGAATTTATTTAACTATTTAGCTATATTCTTTCACTTGTGTATGCCAACATTTGAAGTTATTCTTAGTTTTCTGTAGATATATAATGTTACAATATACATTCTTTTACATATTTTGAAAATTTCTACACTGGCATTGTCAAATTTTTCTCAGGTGCCGGAAAGAAACATTTCTCTAGAGACAGTTTTCTTTTAAACTCAAAAAACATTGATCATTGAACCACTGAGCTAAATCCACGGCCCTGATTGTTCTTTTTCTTTTTTCAGCTTTAATTGAGTTTATTGGTACATTTTAGGGATACAGTACAGTTACATTCATTGTTGGGATCTTGTACCTCTACATGACAGGTCTTGATTCTCATTTTTTCCCCTTACCCCTGCCCTTCCTTCACCCTCTCCTCCCCTCCCCATCTACAAACACTTTATTTCCATAAGGGAAAAGAAAAAAATGTGAGATAATGAAAAGATAGATGTTTCTTTTTATAAAAGTGTTCATATAATAAATGGGTAATGCCAGGTATGGGTACTGAGCTCTCTGCTTTGCAAGACTTTCCTGGACTCATTCTACATTAGCCATTGTAGGAACTGCTTGTGTAAGTGCTGTAGTTAGGCAAGTAGTTAGGCTTTTGGCCAGAGCTAAGTCACTTTTGCTTTTCAGAGCCCCAAACTAAATTAATTAGTAATTAAGGGCTTTTGGCCAGAGCTAAGTCACTTTTGCTTTTCAGAGCCCCAAACTAAATTAATTAGTAATTCCCAATTACTACTCAACTGGGGTATGTCTCTTTAATATTATTTCTGTAGTTTACATTCTGAAAATGTAGGGAACAGGAAGCGGACCTTACCAGGACCTCTACCACGGGTCCTGGCCTGTGAGCCGCCATGGCACAAGGTGAATTAAAGAACAGAAAGGAAATGAGACTTAGAGTAATGGGGCTGGGTCTTGGGACCCGCTCGTCCGGTATTTATTGAATACAGTTGTGGGAAGAACTGGGGAGCAGGGTATGCTTTTAGGCATCTAGTTAAATACTGCTGAGCACCTGGCCTGATGGCTCCAGGCAGGGGCTGCCAGCACTGTTAATCTTGTTTGGGTAGACAAACTGGTGCTGGGACCGGGTGCAATTAGGAAGTAACTGGTTGTCAATGAGCAGCCATAATTCAGGGAGAAGGATTTTAACTGGGGTCAGGCTGACCTTAGCTGCACGTAACTCAGCGGAGCCCTGCCACTTCACAGACCAGGTCTTAAGCTTTGGTGACTGCCATTAGCAGAGGAGCAGTACTAGCCCAACTCTGCTACCTGACATGCCCATTTGAGTTATGTAGGGCTTTGGTCTAACTCCTGTTATAAAACAATATAGCCGAATTAAGGGAGGCAAGAAGCATGTGCCGCTTATAGCCTGCTAGTACTTTGCAGGGGTGTCTGCTACAAGAATGTTCTCTCCCCTCCCCTCCCCTCTCTTCCCCTCCTCTCCCTTCTCTCTTCCCCTCTCCCCCTCTCCCTTCGTCCTGTCCTCTCTCCTCCTCCGTCCTCCTCTCTCCCCTCTCCCCTCCTATCCCTCTCAATACAGGGTCTTTCTGTGTAGTGCAGGCTAGCATTAAACTCTGTGTATTCTAGGCTGGCCTCATTCATAGTGATCCTGCTCGAGGATCCTACAATAATGTATTTCTTCAGGCTCATATTGTAGAACCATATTATATACTAGAAAAGAGACTTTTTTGTACAGAAAAAACCAGGCTTCCCTGCTTAGATCAAATCTAACGCAGACCACACTGTATACAGTAATATTTCAGTTCACAAACTTAATTCTTTCCACAGTTCTGGTCCCAAACCGATTTGTTTATGAACTGAATCCAATTCAGTGGTTAAGTTCCTTATGGGGAAATTTGATTTGTTTGCAACCAGTTTACTTTGTGACCAGAGTCTCGGAAAGAATGAAGTTTGTGAACCAAGGTATCACTGTACCAATTCTGTTATGTAGCTGTAATTTAAAATCTGAATGTCAAGATGATTTCCTCTTGGTTCTCTGGGAGAACCCAGGACCTTGTGCTTGTGAGGCGGGTGCAGCATTACTGAGCTAAGTCCCCGGCCCCCGTGTTACTTGTATTTGTAGGAGGGAAGCCTGTAATGAAGGAGAAGGAGACCCCCCACTCTACGTCAATGTGAACATGTTCAGTGGGCAGCTCATGAACACCTGGATCGACTCTCTGCAGGCATTCTTCCCCGGACTGCAGGTATTCTGCAATCAGATTTACAAAGAATAAAATAGTCATTAGAATGAGATTTTTATTTTCCTCCTTTTTCTGCAATTCCTGAGCATTTTCTAGCTCCCTTGGATTTGGGAGGTTAATAGCACATCATACTAAGGTTATTCTGTTTGTGAAATCAGTTCCTAGAGTATTGAACAGACCTATCTTATATTAGTGAAAAATCATATTTGAAAAGTAATTGCAGGTAATTGTTGGATAATGCATCTTTGTTATGTGCTTCTTTGTGAGTACATAAAACCTTTTGTACAGTTCATCTAAGTATGTCATTGATGGTAAGATACAAAAGGCAGTTTTTGTTTGTGTTGTGTTTTTGTTTTTGTTTTGGAGTACCTGGGATCGAACTCAGGACCTTGAACTTGCGAGGCAGTGGAACCATTGAGCTAACACCCCGACCCTGTGTTGTTTTTTTGAGACAGGATCTCACTGTATAGTTTATGCTGGCCTTGAATGCACTGTGTAGCCCAGGCAGGCCTCGAACTCACAGTCATCCTCCTGCCTCAGCCTCCTGAGTGCTGGCCACCATGCCTGGCATGGTTTGTCACTTTTGACTCTGTTTTGTCTCCAGCTATGTTAGATAAGAGCCAGAGGGTAAAGGAGAGCCTAGAATTTGTGTCACTTTTTGCAACTCTAGGAAAAGTGTCTTGGCCTGGTGACCCGTGTCTTTTCCTTAGGTTCTGATAGGAGATGTGGAAGATGCTATCTGCCTCCATGCCTTTTATTACGCCATATGGAAACGATATGGGGCCCTTCCTGAGAGGTATAACTGGCAGCTACAGGCTCCTGACGTTCTCTTCTACCCACTGAGGCCAGAATTAGTGGAATCTACATATCTCCTCTACCAGGTACTGGAGCTCTTAAAGCAATAGTTTGTTGTTTTCATAGTGATTTAAGAGTTACCACCTATCTGTAGTCTTGATAACATTCAGTGTTTTTTGTTTTTGTTTTTGTTTTTGTTTTGTTTTGAGACAGGGTCTCACTATGTAGTTGAGACTGACCTGGAACTCACTATGTAGCCCAGGCTGGTCTCAAACTCACAGTGATCCTCCTGCCTCAGCCTCCCGAGTGCTGGGATTACAGGTGTGTGCCACCACGCCTGGCTACGTTCAGTGTGTTTCCTGGACAGAGATAGTCTCTGTAGCCAAATGTTTTTCTTTTTTCTTTTTTTTTTTCTGGCACTGGAAATTGAACTCAGGGTCTCTCTCTTGCCAGGCAGGCACTGTGCCACTGATACAGCCAATTTGTTTTTACCTCACATTTTGCAAAGAATTTTATCTTTGCTGTAGGACTTATTGTATTCGAGAAAGATTTTACTTTCAGTGTATTCCAAATCTGTTTGACCATAGAACTCTTTTTTAGGAGAAATGCAATTCTGTGCCAATGTGCTGTGGAACCTTCGTCTAGGTGATTATTCAGAAAAAAAAATTGTGTTATTTATGGAGGAAGTTACCTAGGATTTACATGAATGTCTTATTTTTGTTTAGTGTTCATCTTTCATGTAGTTACTCCTGTGCCTGCAGAAGGAATGTCACTTCAGCTGTGAAATATCTTCTTAGAACACCTGAAGCCACATGCATATTCTACTGTGCATACCGTAAATAAACACACACTGAGATTTCTTACCCATTCACAAATACAGCAACGTAGGGCCGGGGGTTTAGCTCGGTGGTTCCAGTCAAATATATAGCAACATAAGCTGTTCACTTACTAAGAAGCTAGCCTTTAATGCGGTTCAGTAGGCCTGTGGCAGATGCCTGCAGTGGGCAAGCTTTGGCACCAGACTTTCACAAGGCCTTCTAGCAGGATTAGTATTGTCCTTAGATTTAGTGATTAATTTTTTTTTTATACAGAATTCTTGCTGTTTACTTTTAGATGAAAAAAGGGAGAATCTTATGAAATTGGTAATGGTCTTCATGCCTAAAGAGAGACCTCATGAGTTTTAGATAACCTTTCAAGAAAGGAAGCGGTGATACTTCTGTGGGTTTGTTTTGTGTTTTTGGTTTTTGAGATAGGGTGTCATTAAGTAGTCCATGCTCACTTTGAACTTACTATGTAGCCCGGGCTGGCCTCAAATTCTCAGCAGTCTCTTTTGCCTGAGCCTCCTAAGTGCTGAGATTATGCTGCCTTGCTCAGTCAAGGTGATCTTGTGCATGGTCTGTCTGAGTCCAGAGTTGAGTAAGGCCTGTGCACAGTGTGTGGGTGGCATACCTGCTGCTATCCCAGTTTTCCTTTTTGTTTCTTCTTGGTCTCTTCTGTGTTTTCAGCTTCTTTTTCACACAGGCTAATTTCTTAGGATCCAAAGCATTCTTTTGCTTTATAGCTTTACCTTTTGAAGCCACCCCCAGGCCCTTGTAACCCAGAGAAAGCCAGCATGGTGGTTATTTGCTTTTTTTCCTGCAGTTTGGCACTAAGCATGAATTAAAGATGATCCCCTTCTCATAAAATGTTAGAGAATTTTTTTCCTAACAAAATCACTAAGAATATGTGACAGAAGAGTCAGCAGCTCTAGGAGTTACTAGAGAGGAGAGTGTGGAAGCTTTCTGTAGATACCATCGAGGCTTACTCCCTTTGGCTTTTTTCACAGTGCTATAATTGGAATGCAGGCAAGGTCCTATTTCCCTATGCCTATGTCTTTACTTTCCAGAGAGGTCCAAGGCGAGGTAGAAACTGGTTTTGTCAGCTGACTGTGGTGGTGTATACCTGTAACGCTAGCATGGAGGGAGACTGAAGCAGGAGGATTGCAAATTGGAGTCTTGTCTGGACAATGGAAACCTCTCAGAATAAAAAAGGCTGGGGAATGTGGATCAGTGCTAGAGTGCCCCTGGGTTTAATTCCCAGTACCGCCCCTCCACAGTCAATGAATAGGAATTTAAAAATGACTGGGCATAGAGCCTTGTGGGAAGGCCCTGGGTTTAACCTCCAGTACCACAAAACAACAACAAAACAGAATGAACTGGATATTTTCTCAGATGATGGTACTGTCGAGGTGCATTGTTTCTGACCGTGGTGGGGATCAGAGCCAAAGTACATTGTTGTTCTACCTTGGAGCAGATTTCCTAACTGTGGTTTAAGCGAAATAAACTGCAGTAATGCTTTAGCCTGAGCTGGCACAGTACCATGTCCTTCGTGACTCTTCAAGATGAAGTGAGTAAGTAAGCTCTGTTCTTTCTGTTGGCTGGTGACTCATCTACCTGGGGAATCCTGCATTCCCCCTGTATTTGTTGTTGACCTATCTTCCAGGCCCTTGCTGGATCATGTTCTCCTGTGTTCTGTTTAGGCAACCAAGAATCCCTTCTACCTCCATGTGGGAATGGATATTCTGCAGAGTCTGGAGAAGTACACAAAAGTCAAGTCAGTTTTCTAAGTTTCTTTTTACTGTTGTCTACCCGTGATTTGTTTGGGAAAATATTATTCTAGCTTGCATTTTAATTTGTAGAAAAGATAGATCGTTAATGTTAATTTTGTAATGAAATTTTGGTATAGTAAAAACTCTCCATTAGTTGGAATCATTTGTTAACTTTCTCTTTTGTGTGAGGTTTCGGCTGACTATGTTCTTTTTATATAAATTAGTTTCCTGAGTCATACAAATAATGCATAGGACAAAATATTTAGGATAAAGAAAACTATTAGGATATAGAATATTCTCATTGTAATTGCTAACTAGAGCAATAACCATAGTCAGCATTTATATATTTATAATATTTTAATATATTTATATATATGTATGTGTATTTATGTGTATCTAACTACTTGCTCTATACTTCAGTTTTCTGGCCTACTTTTGTTTCTTACCCACCAATATATCATAAATATTTTTTTAGAAACTACTATTTTAGGACAGTCAAATAGTTCTACAAGTACTGGGATTAAAAGAAATCAGTTGTTCTAAATATGTTGCCAGTCATTTTTCTGGATGTCATGTCGTGCTCTTGGGAAACACCCTGTACTGTTTTCCTTTCCAGCCTGGAGCTAACCTGGTAATTTAAGAGCCAGACCACTTTTAACATGAATTTACAAATAACCCAGGCTAAAAACAGGATCACCTCTGAACATCACATAGTTTATTTTTTACATGCTGTTAGATAATTTGGTTGATAACCCTCTTAATAGAATACTTAATTTATCTGACATTTATCAGCAGAGGGAAGGAACAGAGGCAGGACTGACTTGAAAATTGTTTTGTAGATGTGGGTACGCCACTTTACATCATGTCATAGACAAGTCCAAAGAAGATCGGATGGAGAGCTTCTTTCTCAGTGAGACCTGTAAATACTTATATCTGGTATGTGTGTGTCAAGATTAGCTAAGGGTTATTTAATACTACTGAGAGAAAGCAGTCTCCTATCTGACATATTTACTCAGCACTGCTGTGTGCTAGACATTATGCTTTCTTGGGATATAAGCACTGTTTTTTTGTTTTTTTTGGTACCAGGGATGGAACTCGAACTCGGGCCCTTGTGCTTGTGAGGCAGGCAGCAGAACCACTGAGCCAAATCCCTAGCCCAGCAATTATCCGGAAGAATATTTCTAACTTCCTTCATGGTTTCCAACCTTCTGGAGGAGTCACTTGTTAAGGAAACAAATTAGTGTAAATGTTTAGTAATAAGAATACAAATTAAAAGAATCAGAAATGAGCTTTTGATTAGTAACTATGCAAAGTACTGTGAAGGATCAGTAGAGGACTAACTTTAAGACTGTAGTCAGGAGGCTTCTCTGAGGAGGAGAGCAGTTTTTCTCCTTCCCTCCCCTCTGGCTCATTCCTTTCCCCCTCTTCCTGTGGTGCTGGGCATTGAACCGGCTCCCCAAGCACTGTACTACTGAGCCTGACCTTGCCTTGCTTACTCTGGAGGCATGTGGTCTTGGCCGAGGCCTGTGTCCTGGCTATCTCTTTGTGCGCATACATACACACATGTTCTTAAACACTCACTTCTGTATGCTGTGGAGAGAATTTCTGGACTTGGAAGGAAGCTTTGGGGTCACCTAGTTAATGTTTGTTATTCCTCTTATGGGAACTACGTCCTACACTGAGGTCACATGACTTGTCCAAGTTCTTAGGGTGAGTGTGTGATGGAATGGAGGCTTGAACCATTGTCCTGATTCCTTTGCAGTCGTTAACCATGTCACCAGTCTGCCACATTCATTTGTGGTGCCTCTGCAAGTGGCTGATCTGCTAATTCTGCCACTTGATTTGCCGGGACTACATTCAAAGGATACTTCTGTTAATGAGTGTTTTCACACATTATATTTTATTGCTGCTCCCCCCTGCCCCCATTGAACTCATGACTTTGTGGCTACAAAGCAGGTGCAGCGCCACTGAGCTAAATCCCCAGCCAAAGCATACTTCTGAAGGCATAGAGTATAGGAAGTTGCTGGGGAAAGCACTCAGAAATAGCAGCAGCAGTGTTGTGACATCCAGTTCGTAGTTCCCAGGTCCAGGGCTCATTGGGTCTGAATCACCTTGGGACCTTTAAGATTTCAGCTGCATGGCCAATGACTTAGGTCAGTGGCAATGCACCTGCCTTGCAAATGCAAGGTCTTGAGTTTGATTCCCAGTACCATAAATAAATGTATAAATAAATAGATTTCAGCTGCACTGAATCACAGCATTTAGAAGTGAGCTCAGGAATCTAATTTTTACAGATGGCCTCCAGTGCTTTTGTACAGAGCTAGGTTTTGGAGCTGTTGGTCTCGTCATTTAAGACCACTGTTTTTTGTGGCATCGCTTTACCAGCATACCATGTCAGTCAGTGGGAAGATACAGGCCTGCTGTCACATCCTGGGCATGCAGAGTGCTAGCTCTGAAGCAGAGGAAGGTGACTCTGTGGGTGCCCAAGGGGCAAGCTTATTCTAGGAGGAGAAATTCTCCATTTTCCCATTAGCTCAGTTGAGTGTCATTTTTAAAAAATTAATTTTACTGGAACATTAAAGGTATACAATGTAGTGACAGTCATCATTGGAAATTTGCAGCTTTACCTAATCCATCTTGGCTCTCATTTTTTCGTCATTTCTCTGCCCTCCCTTCAACTGCTCCCCCCCATGTACAAAGACTTTGTTACCATTTTTTCTTCTCATATTCCATTCCCCTCTTTCTTTTCCCCTATCCCTTTTACTTCCCCTTCCCCTTTGTACCTTTTCTTCCTGTTTCAATTAGAGTCTCATTTTTTAATCTCTGCACTACTTTAGGGGACCAATAAAGTTTCTTCTATCTTTGGGCATTTCTAAGTATAATAGTCATTGTCTCAGTTACTTGTGGTCAACCACAGCTTGAGATATTAAATGGAAAATTTTAGAAATAGTTTATAAGTTTTAAAAAACTTAAATTGTTATAATTCTTCTATTATTGCTAATCTCTTGTGTCTAATTCATATACTAAACTTTATCATGTAGGAAAAAAAATATGAGGTTCAGTACTGTCTGTGGTTTCAGACATCTTTGAAATGTCTTGAAATTATAAGGTAGAATTACTAAATTCATTCAGTCAACATTTGCTGAATACTTGTTCCCCCACACCCATTGCACCCTGTTTTGCTCTCTGCCATGTCCACTGTTAAGGGTATATCTGTTAAGGCTGTATCTGTGTGCTATTGTGACCTCAGAGCTGCATCCAAGAATTGAGCTGAATGTTGGGAGATATACTGGGCTCTGGGCTGGGCCCTGAGGATATGGTGTTGAGTGAAACATGTGCTCTAGCCCTTTAGCATCTCCCATTTAAGGCCCTGATGTGTGTGAGATGACAGTTATTCTAGAATTCTAATATAAGAACTCTTAGGGGTACATGAGAATGTTCTAGGCAACCTCTATGGACTACCTGTGCTTGGGTCTCAGCTCTGGGGTTTTTGAGTCTCTAGGTCTGGGTGGAGTTGGGGGTAGTTCCAGGTATTTGAATTTAAACAAAAAGGGTGATCCTGCTGTGCAGCCAGGATTGGAAACGATGCTTATTAATCAGTGCCTTTTCATCCAGTTCTATTCCCCGAGTAACTGAGAAATTCCTATTTTCCTTTTCCTCTAGCTGTTTGATGAGGAGAATCCAGTACACAAATCTGGAACCAGGTACATGTTTACAACAGAGGGCCACATTATATCTGTGGACAAACATCTTCGGGAATCACCCTGGAAGGAGTTCTTCTCTGAAGATGAAGAACAGGAGCAGCAGGGCAAGTTCGTGCACAGGCCAAAATCTCAAGAGTTAAAAGTCATCAATTCTAGCTCCAATGTGAGTTGCCTTTTCCAGGGATGGTGTGTGTAAAGGAAGAGAAGCACTATGGATGTCTTTGGCATTTAGAGTTTCTGACAAAAAATTGGTGTTACACTCAGACTGGGTAATTTGGAAAGAGTTTCATAAAGGGATCTGGGGTTAGCAGGATGTGAGGAAACCAGTGCAGTGTCATCTAATCACCTGGCTGTGGGGCACAGTAGAGGGAGACCACGGCCACCGGGAGGAGCCATGCGGGTAGGACAGCCACTGGCAAGAGCCACTACTTGGGCAGGGCTTCACTAACTGTGTAGGAAGGCAACGAGCAGGGTCATGACCTGATACCAACCCCTTCCTTGTTTTGATCTCTTGCTGGAGCTTCTTCTTGGCTTTCCTCACCAGGAATCAGGACAAGGAAGCCTGTCGGTATAATCCTTGAAGGATGAGGAGGAGCTTCCTAATGTGAGATAGTCAGAAGAGATGGCATTTATGAAGGTCTGAGGGAGTATGTGGTCTGTGAAGAGCTGCCAGTCTTGCAGGGGATAAGGAGCAGGGCTGAGTGAGATCGAGTGCGCAAACATGGAGAAGAGTGTAATGAATTTATGTGGAGATTGTTTCATTGGTTGAGTCTCCTCCCTACATCTCCTACCAGTTGAAAATAAAGGCCTTTATTTAAAAAAATTTTTTTTCAAGACAGGGTATCACTGTAGTTCAGGCTGGTCTTGAACTCACTATGTAGCCCAGGCTAGCCTGAAACTCACAGTGATCCTCCTGCCTCAGCTTTCCTAGTGCTGGGATTACAGTCAAGTGCTACCACACCTGGTAAAAAGCCCATTAAAAAGAAAGTAGAACATAGAAATACAGTATTTTCAGATAGGTAAAGTGTTTTCTGAAATCTGAGTAGTTTAAGCACCCAGGGGATGTGGCTTTTACTCCTGGCTGCCAAGTACTTGCTGTGAATATCTTTCAGCCTCCTTGGGACTTTATTTTTCTTCTTATAAAGTGAGGAGATTAAATTTCATCAGTCCTCAACCAGGGGTAATTTTGCTTCTCAAGGGACATTGGGTAGTGTCTGGAGAAATTTTTTAGTTGTCACAACTGAAGGGTGGAATTGTCACTGGCCCCTGGGAGGAGAGGCCAGGGATGCTGCTGACTGTTCAGCACTGCAGAGGACAGCTCCTCCCAACAAAGAGTTATCTGTCCCAAAATGTCAATAGTGCCTGGGTTGAGAAATTGGATTAGTACCTCCAGCCACTTTTCAAACAGATCGACATACAGGTTTCTAATTTGAAATTTGTATCTTTCTAGTGCAATCGTGTTCCTGATGAGAGGAGATACTCCCTGCCCTTAAAGAGCATCTACATGCGACAGATTGACCAGATGGTTGGCTTGGTTTGATTTGCTCTCCTCTCTCTGGCTTTGTTTTACACCAAACCGAACTGAACCCAGACTGCACAAAAATGCAGGCTGAAGTGGAAGAGGCAGAAGTCTGGCCATCCACGATGGCGTAGGAATTTCTCTCCAGCTCCTCACCGACATCTAGTTAATTCTTACATACTTTGGTGTTTTCTTTCTGTTCAATAAAATGCCCTATTTTTCTTAAGGATGTAATTTGAAATGAGAAGGAACATGGAAATTGGCTTTTGACATGCTCGTGTTACTAAGCACAACAAATAGGGCATCTTTGATATTCCCAGCTTCATATTTAGAATCCAAGTCTGTTCACTTTGCCAGCCCTTGATCCTCCTGCTGCATATTGCTACCTCTTTGTTAAAGGTTTGGGAATGAAATTTCTGTGCAAAGAGCCTGAGGTTCACTTGGTGTCCCTACTTTTTGCATTGAAAAATGTCACTTTTTTCTCTCTTATTGGATCACTGGGCTCTCTGCCAGAGGTATCCAACTGTGATTTTTGGGTCACATGAAGGGAAAACCATCGATTTGTTCTTATCCCAAGCAGTGTTCACAGTATTACAAGTTCTTTGCCTAAGAATAATAGTCGAACCAGAATTCTAACAGGCAGTCTCAAGTTGTCATGTCATACTATGAGAGGTTGTCTAACATCTTTTGGATGATATTTTGCTTTTATTTTGAACATGAACTTACCTGAGGAACTCCCATAGTTCCAGAACCAGGTGCCTTTTAGGGAGAGAAAAAGAAAAAAAAAAAAAACAAACCAACAAACAAAATCTAAGATTGTCTGAGCCTCTGTCTTACATTTCCTAATTAAGAATTCTAAATGCTGACCATCTTTAGGTTGGTTAGTTTTGTTTTGTTTTTGTCACTTGTGTCTAGTGCCAATTAGCTAATCAGGGAGAAAGAAATGATCAGATGACTTTCTGATATCCTTGAGCCATTTCTCTGTGTAATACAGGCTTTAGATTAGTGCCTTATGGGTTTTGATTTAGGCCATTAACTATCACAGCCACTGCTATGTTTGTGGCAGTCTTGTTTTGTATTGCCATATAACGGGACCAACAGAGAAGGGGGTTGGCATGGGTGTTAATGTGGAAGATTCTGGAAATTGCTTGATTGGTCTTTGCCTTTCAGTTTCTTATTTTAGCCACGTCTTCAGGAGGAAGTTGTGCTAAAATGCTTTTTTCCTTTTGGTCGTTATATATCTCCTTAACCAGAACAGATGGCCTTGTCTTTGAACTTAAACTGAGTGCATATACAAAATACAGCTGGCCTTGAGCCTGGCTTTTGTGCAATATCACAGGTGGAAATGTAACCTGATGCGAAGGGTACAAGTCTCTTAAAAACTTCCAGCGTCACATATAGTGTTTCTCCTTGTCACTGTTTGCACACTTCAAATGATGGAAATGAGTCTTAAGTCATTGTATTTTCAGTCAAAAGGGAAAAGTTCCTTCTTGAAAATTTAAGTCTTTTGAAAATAGATACATAATTCAATTATTTGCAATCTTTAAAAAGGTAATTTTCAGTAGTAATCATCTTTTTTTAAACATTTACTATTCATTTTATTTTGAAGCAAAAAAAAATAGCTTCCATTTTACTTTCATTTTAGAAGTAACTCTTCTAGTAGTGTCTCCTCTACTGACCAACAGAAAACTTTCCTTGAGAATACTATTTCATGTCTTTTCATTAACTCAGTAAAAGTGTTACATACACACGAACAAGCACCTGTACCTTTTCTCCAGGCTGAGGTGGGACTATGAGTGACCACTTGGGAAAGTGGGGCCTATCAGGAAAAATGATGAAGTCTTCCCACTTTGTTTTCTCTTTTAGTGCCCTTCCCTTTTCTCCGGCCTCTGTGGCAGCAGTAGTGTGTCAGCGCTCCAATGTCACCCTTCTCATCTGGGCCCTATGCGTATCACTCTCCAGAAAGCACAAGCATTTCTTCATGCTTTTGGAATGGAGATCTGTACTTGGGGCACCACTGTGCCTTGAGTGAGGCAGGTTTGTAGGGGTGTACGCTGATGTGAAACAGTTTAAACCTGTTGACTTCTGGGTACTGGACTTAACACCACTTGATGAGACTGAGGGTGAGTGAATTACTTACTATCTGTTAGTCCTGGTTATTGATCTTACAGACTACCCATGCTCAGGATTGAGGCTGCATAGTCAATGTTGTCTAGTACAGCCATTAAAAGTGTTATTTGAGCCAAGTTCCAAGCTTACTGTTTTCTTTTTAGAAATCAGAATGTCAGCAGCTATGATGTATTTACAGGCTCGTGCTGTCTCTTCTATTCTGTATTCTGAAATACTGGTTAGGGGAGAGCCAAAGAGGAGAATGTGAGTGAAATCCCCTTACTCAGTGCTTTACCCCAGGAATGTCTTGAATCTGACCAGATTTAATCCTTTGCAACAGCATTGAGGCCAGACCATCCTTGTACTCCTCCACTAGCTAGTTGTCTAGTGTCAGTGTTGGTCAATATTTTGCAAAACTGCTGTAGAAAGCTACCCTATATAAGACTTGGAGGAGTCTGGTTCTCCAAAGACAAAGTTTTAAATCATTACAGGGATGGTTTAGCTGCTTTAGATAGTGTGATGGAGGAACTCAGGACAGAGGAGACAGTGGAGTGCTTTGCTACCTCTGGTTGTGCTGGCCATCATGAAAAACTGGCATGTTTTCAGATCTTCCTTTCAGTTTCTTTCCAGCCTTTTTATGGGAGCTTGTTCTTGTGACTTAATTTCTAGGTTCTGCTGATGTCCTGGGCTTTTCTTGCCTGGACTTGGAAGTGTGCATGTGACACTTAAATGATTATTTAGAGAAAAATGCATCAGGGTGGTATCTGTGCAGATGAATGTTAGCAGAGAATCCATAGTTGACAGGTTTGAATATTGGGTTTTGCAGTCTGAAGGCTTTGATTCCCTCTTTCTTACCCTTTCTCCCCTACAAAATTAAAATGCCTGTTCTATTTCTTAGCTCACTTCAAAATGTAACATTAGACACTGCTTCTGGAGGGCTCCAGAACTCTTTGTCTTTGACATGTTCAATTTTTTTTTTTTTTTCTTTTTTTTTTTTGGTACTGGGTATCAAACTCAGTTCCTTGTCTTGCGAGGCAGGCAGCAGAATCACTGAGCTGAATCCCTGGCCGGACATGTTCAAATTTAACACTGGTTAAAAGGTAGGCTACAAAGTCACTGAGCAGGGACTTCAGAAGAAAATCCTTTTGCTTTTCCATGCCCAGACATCCCAGCTCCTACTCTAGTGCCTCTTCCCTGGTTGCAGGGCAGGGACCCCAAGTGAGAAAAGGTGGGCAGGCTGGGCTGTATTCCCCCAGTGTCGGGCTCAGGATTATGCACCCGCTTATTTTAGGATGTGAATCTGATAAAAATGTCGAGTACCTGTGGAATTCTCTGATTCACTACCCCCCTCTTTGTGAGAGGAAGAATATTTTTAAAAATATTTTGTTTTAGTTTTAAATAGCAAAACACAAGCTACATTTTTATTTATTATAAACAAGAAAAATAATTCTGTTTTTACAAAAAATTTAGAGTTGGAAACTGGGAAAACATTGAAATACATGAATGCTTCTCTGTAATGTGCAATATGCTTTGCTACTATAAATGATATTTTATGTTTAATCTGTAAATAAGAAATGTATTTAAATTAAAGGAGCTTTTTGTAAAATGACCAAATGTTCTTTTATAAATGTACTAAGGGATATCTTGCTCTTTCAAATTTATTAGGATTTTTATGAATAATTTTATTAAAAGATTCTTTTTTCGAGTGGTCATTGTGTTTCTCCTTTTCATACTCATACGTCCATATTACATGCAGGATGGGAAGTAATCATGAAGGGAAATGAAACTATGTGAATTAATTTTTTTAACAGCTGAGCTTCCTTGTGGAATTCTTTTTCCTTTCCATCTGTCACACTGTTCCATTTAAATATCTCACCTGTGGGTGAGACACCTTTTGCTAGGTGTGGCCTGTTGCTAGTTTCCCTTCTATGTTCTTATCTTTTTTCCGGGGCACTGACTCCCCAAATTGTGTTGCCAGTTACCCAGGTATGTCTGTGTTGTGGAACCCATTCTCCTTATTGCCCTCAGCAGGGCACCTCATGTTCCTGAGGTCTTAAAGGTTAAGATGGGGCAGTAGCACCCCACTACCAGCATGGGAAGCACTGGCCCAGGGGAAATGTGAGAGCAGAGTTAGAAGACTGGCCCCTTCCCTGAAGTGGCACCTGAGTCCTGATGAGATCTTGAAGGAGAGCACGGGTCCTGCCCTGTGGCTTCGCAGAATCCCAGTTTTGGGTCTTCATTCTCATTGGCTTGTTTAATCCATTTCCTGTTTAGAAAATCGTTTTGCTGCCAACATTTCAGTGATCAAGAATTTATTTTGTAAATGCAAATACCACTAACTACTAAAAATAATGATATAAGTAGAATGATGTCTCGTCTCCAAAGACTAGGAGACTGTTACAATAAAATGACATTTTGTAGCAAACTTTAAGGGTAAGAACAAGACTAAGTCTCGATTATTTTAGGATAAACACTAGTCAAAGGAGTTGCTGGCAAATATTCTCAGGGCAAATGGGGAATTGGTTAAAGAATGAAATATCTCCGCGTGAAGGAGAGAGTCCCAAGATTGGAAGTATCTTCCTAATGTGCACATACGTGTTCTACTGTATAAGGGGTGATAGCTGTGTGTGAAGTGTGGTTTTGTGACCATCTTGACAAACCAAGCTGGCTCAAGTACTCAGATCAGGGGGAGAGTTGTGCATATACTACCTTGGTTCCTACCTACCTTCTCCAAGATGCTTAGCCTCTGTAGTGTGAAGACGAACCCTGGGCCAGGGAGTGGAGCCAAGCAGTATTGTGTCAAGCCTGTGAGAGTCTCAGGGTTGGAACTAGGGATGCTGGGCCCTCACCAGAGTTGTTCAACATCGACTACTTGTGTGTCCTGAGAAGTAACAGTCTTTTTGTTTCTGTTTTGGTGCTGGGGATTGAACTCAGAACCTTACATTTGTGAGGCAGGTGGTGGCACCACTGCGCTAAATCCCTTGCCTGTGATAAAGCCTTAATGGCTTCAGTTTTCCTATCATACGAGGTAATAACTCCATACTTAGCCTGGGCACAGTATCACATGCCTGTAATCCCAGCTAATCAAGAAGCTGAGGCAGGTGCAAGGCCAGGTTGGGCAATTTAAGACCCTATCTTTAAAAAAAAAAAAAAGGTGTGGATGTAGTTCTGTTGTAGAACATCCCTGGGTTCAGTCCTCTGTATTGGGGAAAAAAATTCCATACTCAGATTGGTATGAGCCTTGGAGTAGATTCATATGCGTGAATTTCTTAAAACAGCACTTAGCATAAAGTAGGTTCTGTTTCCCAGCTAGTGCTAGTACCCTTAAAATGATCTTAGAAGAAGGGATGAGTGCGGGCTGGCCGTGGAGAATCTTGGATGTATGGCTTGGGTCAAGGTTTTGTTTTGCTTTTTTGAGACAGTCAGTAGGCCTCTCAGACTCACCTTGAACTTGTGATTCTCCAGACTGAGATGCCAGAGTGCTGAACTAGGAGTTCATTGCATCAAGGTACTCATCTTCAGTTTCCTTGTTTGTAAAACTTGATACTAGGGCCTTAACTCCCAGGATTTTTGTGAGGGCAAAGTGAATCAGCAGTTACATTTTGTCAGTGCATTCAAGGAAGTGTGCTGTTACTCTACCCATCTCAGACACCCAGATTGTGAGGTCAGAGTGGTTGGTGCAGTACTAGGGCCCCGATACCTCAAATACCACCTTTCCAAGGTAGAGTTTTTCTGGTTATGGGGTACTCTAGAATGCTCCCCTTGGAGGGTTCAGGGCTGGGGTCTTTCAGTGTGAGTTAGATTTTTTTCCCCACTGTACTGGGGATTGAATCCAGGAGACTGTGCACTGAACCATAGCCCCAGACCTTTTTTTATTTTATTTTTTTAATTTTTGAGACAAGTTCTCACTAAATTGCTGAGTTACCCATGCTGGGCCCAAATTTTCAATTCAGCCTCAGCCTCCCAGAATGTTATAGGTAATCAGACTTTTTAAAAAAGGAAAACATTTATTGGTATATTTTTGATATTATATATATGAATATATATGAATGATAGGGAATTTGTACCTGTATGTGATATGTCCTGCCTTTTTTTTTTTCCATTAACCCTCTCCCCACAAACCCCTTCTCCCTATGTACAAAAGCTTTGTTTCCATTTTCACTTTTCTTGCTTGTCCCTTTTTCCCTTCCCTCTCCCTTGTTCCCCTTCCCATTTGAAACTTTCTTCCTAGGGTAATCAGATTCTTAAAGAAAACTTATTATTTGACAAATTTAACACCTGCTTAACAAAAAGTGTCTAAAAGGGAGCTAGTTTCCATTGTTAGAATACCCACTTGGAACATCCTGAATTGCTTTTTTGGTAAATACTGATATTCAAAATAACATTGTAAGTTACATTTTATGTTTTTGGTGCTGGGGATTGAACCCAGGCTTTTTGCATGGTGAGCATTGAGCTACAAACCCAAAACCTAAGTATCTACTCTTGGATTTTATTTTTGCATGATGCTGGAGATTGAACCTAGGGCATTTTAATGTTAGACAAACACAACTCTGAGCTGCTCCCTAGCCCTACTGAAATCTTAAAACCATTACAGTTTAATTTTTCTCTGATCATGGGACTCTTAAGAGTCTTCAGGGTGAGCTAACATTACGGTAAGTATAGAAACAGAGTGATATATACTTGATAATTTTACCAAAAAAATGTATTGGAAAAGTTTTCCCTCATTAAACCATAGTCACCCTCTGTCTAGTTTAGTTTTATATCTGTGGATTAATACTTCGCACTACTGCTACTGGTGAGAATGCAAACACTTTGGTGAAGAGTTTGGCATCACTCCAAAACCAAACTGCAACTGCCCTGTGACCCAGCAGCTGGGCTGAGTACGGCCTCACAGCAGAATGGCCCTGGTGCTTCTACTCCAGAGCAAGTCATCTTGGCCAGGAATCAGCAAACTGGACTGCAGTACAAATCTGGGCACTACTTGTTTTTGGTACCAGGGATAGGACTCGGGTCCTTGTGCTTGTAAGGCAGGCAATGGAACCACTGAGCTAAATCCCCGGCTCCTTGTTTTTGCTTTGTTAAATAACGTTTTATTAGAGCATTGTCTTGCTCATTTGTTTATATATTACAGTCTGTGGTTGCTTTTGTGCTGCCTCAGTAGAAACTGGTCTCTGGTTGTGGCTCTTTAATGAAGAAATTTACAGTTAGTCTAGAAGGTAACGGGTGAAACAGGGCTGTTCATAAC